CCCCCCCTAAGTGTTTTTCCCTTGCTCACAGCCACCCCTCTCTCCCCTCTTGCCTTCCTGACTCCTTTGCATTCAACCATCTTTACTTTAGTCAAGCCTCTACTCTTAATTTTCTTCCTTGATTATTGGAGCTTTAAGTATCTGCTATTAGCCATTAGTTTTAGTCACTATTAACCAATATCCAAGTTGCATGTCCCTACAAACAGGATACCGAATTTCATATTTGCTGACACCCAGATAATAGAACGATATTTGGTGAACCAATGTAACTGACCATTCGATACGTAATAAGGTAAAAGTTGCGTATGTGGGGAAACAGTTTATATATCATTAGGAGAAAAATGGTTAAGAACTATTTAATGAAATATCCATGATAAAAATCGTTTTATATACCCCCCCCCCAATATGAAAGTTTGGGCGACTCTGTGTAAATAGCTTTCGATTAAAATGCCTCCTGATGACCTGATCCCATTTCCCACTCCTTAAACATTTCATCTCAGCAAAGAGACGTCTCCACGATTAGAACTCCTGGAAAAATCTTCATCTCACATAGGTCATGGTTGCAATTAAAATTGAACATCATTTTTTAATTTAATTGCATAAATAGTTCCATGAATTAAGTGATAATTGGCGCGCTTTTATATTTTTTTGCAAAGTAAGAAGACAATTTTAAAAATAAACATAAATCTATTAGAATGAAAGATTTTAAAATCCTTGAATAAATGAGAGAGCGACTCTGTTTAAGCACAAGTTGTTGTTTTGCTAATTACGTGAAATTGGGGATCTCAAATTGGATTGAGGCATAAAAGGGGAACATTGGAAGGGTTGTTACCATGAGATATCGGCCTTAAGTTGTAGGGAAGTTCGCACGAATTCGCGAAAGAAGCGAATTATGCTCTCTACTGACGTGATTGTTGAGCCTAGAATATCCACGAAGTGTCGAGTCATTCAAGCAAGACTTCCAATGTTCAATTTTATGTTGCTTTAAGTATTAATTTGATAATAAATTGCAAGACGAGACTCCTCAAAAGACTGAGTAGTGAAAAATTTATGATGGAACATTCTATGCACTAAGTCTGTCTCCAAGATCATCTCAACAGACTACTTGAATACTATGCAAGCACGTAGCTACTTGTTGAATAGTACCAAAATTTCACTTTTTTAAATTGATTACTTAATTTTTATTGTTTCAGAATAAAAAATTATTTAAATAAAATTTTTTATGATAGCATCCTCGTGTGCACTGGAAGGTCAGCAAATATGTAATGAAAGTTAAACATGCAAAAGAAAAGCAAATGCAGGGTTAAAATAAGTGGACCTAACATTAAATGGATGAGACCTAGCGGTTGACTATTGGCTAATTGCGTGTTTGTGTGGTTTACAGAGGGTTCGGCGCGTTTGTAGTATTGGCACACCTATCTATGCCTTTCAACACAACACCAAATACAAAAGACGAACAGTAATTGGGGTAACATCTGAGGAAGGGAAAACCCGCTTACCAAATATTGGAATTGATATATTCGTAAAACTTGACTAAGAATTATTTTCACTTTCCTTTGAGCTGTGACAGTGAGACGTCTAACATGTGCCCCATTATGGGCTACCCACGCTACCGAGGGTCCAAATACTACAGTGGTCAGGAATTTCAAATAGGCAACCAAATTCCATCTAAACACATCTTTAAACAAATGAGGAGTGAGACATTGCATCAACTTTGCTGAATACGAATACTCATCCGAAAAACCTTGACGGTTTGAAGATGTGTGCGCCTTGCTCTGTGTTCAAGTCAACTTTTTTTTCTCATCTTGCAAGTTATGCTTATTATCTTGACAAAAGTTTCCTGATCGAAAAAGGTCAGATCGTTGAGCTTCAGTTTCTTCAACTTTGCAAAACGTTTTTCTTTGGCCTTTTCTGTGAACAGTTAAGCTCTCATAAAGTGCAAGATTTGTGGTAGATGCTAAACCTCCAACAACATGTTTTTCGACGGCATAATTTAGAGAACGTCTTCTGCGTGAACGCAATCAGTTCAGCTGGTCTGTTGGGCTTGTTTTTTTGCTCTAACATCCTCACCGTCACTATTGTAATTCTCGAATTCTTTTCACAAATGATGTGTCTATTCCCTTATATTTGGAAGGTTTAGCATTTTTTACTAAAGTTGTCTATTGATTGAAGCCGTTTCTTTCACGTTTGTACAAAAGCAAACTCAAGATTACCTGAATTTAAAATAATCCTTTCCAATCAACGCGTTGTATTCGCCTTTATTTCACCACGACTTAAACCGTTTTTTTCTGGTCTTCTTTCGCATATATTTAAATCAATTCCTTGGACAAAAAGTTTTCCGAGGAGCATAAATGTCAGTCACACCGGGGCGTAGGGGGGGAGGGTTCTTATAATTTATTAATTCCTGAAATTCATCCCAATTTAAATCATCTAAGAAGTTTAAATGAAAGCTCAAAATAAAATTTAGAGATGAGTCAACTACCTGGCTCCAACCTATCCTCCTTCTACCCGTGGATTATTCAGCACTCTTTCCCCTTTTGCTTTATACTCGTAAAACTTTCCCATGAACACATAGCTCTCATTTGAATGTGCGGGTTGAGTGTAAGAATGCGTATATTCAAGATGAATGCATCTTAATTTTATGAATAAACAATATATATATGTTGAAGAAAGTAATGATTAGTGATTTCAGCATATGAAATGCGCACTTTAATTAGGATGATGATTCTGAAGGACGGATTAAAACGTAAATAATTTTTTGAGATGATCATTGCTTCGCATTTGAATTCTGCTTGAGTGTATATAACTTAATAGTCGTTTAAAATGGTATAGATATTTTGCATATGTTGGTATTTCTATGGAAAAAAATACTTTGGAAAGGAATAATTAGGAATCGTTCATTATTTTTTGTTTTGAAACACCTTCCCCATATTACCCCCGCCCTTCCCTAACCAAGTTCAGAAACAGCACTGAATAAAGCATCATTCGGCCACCTACTCAAGCTCAAAGCAATCAATGAACATGCAATTGAGCACATTCTAACAAGTGTACAAATTTTATTTTTCAAGTATAAAATTTTCCCAATTTCATCCTTTATCCACCTCTTCCTTTATATGTTTGCCGATATTTCCAAACTGACGGAAACAATTACAAAATAAAGTTGATTTACATATTTCTCAAGGTAGCCGCTGTCTAAATAGATGGCACGAAATATATAATTGAAAACCCAAGAAAATTTAGCATTCTAGAAATTTTAACTAACAGGACTAAGAAGGGAATCGTCTTTTGACAAACTGACAGGTGGGTTTTTTATTTGCAGCACAAAAGAAAGCCCTCGGGATATAGATTCCACAAGCATTTGACTTAATTTTATTCTGAGAAAAAAAACGTTGAGTAGCTTAATTCATATGGGAAAGTAAACAATTTCACTAATTTTATCTAATCAGCTTGTCATTATGTAGCGCTGCAGATGTCAAACTTGTGTGGTTTTGCGTATTCGTCAATAATATGGAACGATTTGGGTAGAATTGCCATAAAAGAAACACACTTTCATTTCAGGTTTCCAAAGGAAGACTGTCAAAACAAAAGCAGATCCAAAATTGTAGACAGTTTTTCCCATCCACGCTTTAAGGAAAGAGAAGACTCTTAATTAACTAGAAATATGGTAAAGAGCGCAGTCGTTTCTCAGTGGGGTCACAGAATACGTGAAACTAAAATCCTCAAAAGAATCGATTTTCCAATTTTATTAGCGTTTTTTAACTGTTAGAAGTTTTAGAGAAATAAAAATGGAAATTGAAAGTACACAATGACTCAGTTCAACAGTTCTATAGTGGCTTTGTTTGGAATTTATCAAGGTAACTTAGAAACGACACAGATATTTCACTTCGTTAAACACCTGGTAAATGCTTATTTAGTAATTTAGATATTTTGGCAGAATTCTACAATCCGTAAGAGAGACGTGATATCTAATTAATTCTAACACCTTTTAACCATCTTGACTCTTCGTTGTGGTATTGAACGATAATGGTTTAATTAAATTTATGGCTCATTCGGTGATAATTGAGGTAAATTAAAATGAGATGAGAGGAGATTAATCACAACATGCGTTACCGAACATCACAATCGATTTCACTTTGCCTGCAATATTCAACAAAATTATTTATTTCAAAAATCAATTGAAGAGCATTAAATTACTTGCGCATTACTGAACATCGCAATTAAAAATGGTAAATTCTCCAGTCGAACTTCAAGAAAGCATGAATAACTCAAGGTAATTGAGGCATCAACATAAATATTAACTTTGATAAATACTTTCTAACTATTTTAAATGGCAAAAACACAATGCGCCTGTATAATTGTCAGGATTCTTGACAACCTCATTTTACAACTAATATTCGTGTGTTCTTCTCTTTCCCCTCTATTCATTCATTCATTCATTCATTCATTCATTTATTCATATGTTTCTAAATAATTATAATTTTTTGAGACTTTAGCATTCAATAATAATAATAATAACGAAATATAGTTAGACTAAATAAACAAAATTATTCGCAAACATCGCATTTATATTTATGCGAACTTTTCATATTCATAAGTTAATGGAATTATGCGTCATTTTATCGTGCTTTCAATTGTTAGAAGTTAATAAAATGATTTAATTAATTGAAAAAGCGCAGTCTAAATCGACACAAAAATAACGAATATTTCCAACTGAAACGAATAGAAAACGTACCTTATCAGATGAGAATTGTGTTTTTTAAAGCTCGAAAATTCGTGCCTTTTAAGATTCCGAACAAATTTTGAAGTACGACTATTCTTGTCAAATTCGAGGTGGGATCGGATCCTCTGTCGAATAGATCCTCCATTTCCACGACTTTGTAAGGGCATATTTCACGTGATAACCTCAAATTCGGTCTTCAGTTTGTTAAATAAGAATGAATGAAGGTAGGAGATGGTATCAATTTTAATGATTTCGTCTTTAAGTAGCCTGATTGGTTACTAACGTCACTCAATGAAACCCATGTGAGAATTGCTACTCACAATAAATTATCTTAAGATTTACATTTCAACATTGCAGTAAACTTATCACTGAAAATGGAGGATGTTTGTGATGTTGATCGATGCTAACGAGGTATCATATTATTGAGGAGACGTCTGAATCCGTTCAAGTATGCTTGATATTAGATTCCATTGAAATATCTTCATTGGCTTTCCATTTTTTTAGGTATCGAGGATATAACTATTTTCTCGTTTGTATGAACGGAAATTACAAAGATAAAAATGGAATTATATTTTTAAAAAAAAATTGATTTTTTCAAATTAATATCTTTTAATTTAAGCATTGCATATGGTGATAGAACGTGGGGAATTTTACGATTACTGATGATGAAAGTCATTTTTGCTTAAAGCTATCATATAGGAAAGACAACGAAATTAGTCCAACCACCCTCATAGGAAGGAAAAACAGACGTGTGGGAAGCATAGAGTTTATTGAGATTATAGCACACAGCAAATATAATTAATAATGCAATACATTTAGTGCGACTTGAATGGAGGTAAATAGCCGACCAACTGAGACCCTCCCCTGAAAGCATAGCCGCACCCTTTAGGATGTTAGGATTGTATGTACCTCACAAAAAGAAAACACGTCCGAATCACTGGAAACAAGCCCTCTAGTGGAGATAACCTTCCCCCTACCTCAAGAATCTAATATTTTGCCATCATATACGTTAATCAGTAAGAGGTACCTTTGAAGATAACTGCGCACCAGTAGATTAACAACTGTACTCCATTACATCCTTATATCAAGGGGTGTGTAATAGACTTCCCTCCACAAGGTACACCCTGGGCAACGTATACTCATAAGGCAAAAAACGTCTATTAATTGACAGTTGATTTCTGACTTCTAAGTACCATCACCCCACTGTATGTCATATTCCACCACTTCAGCAGATCTCGCCTTACCTTTTACTCAACCTTTATGAGTGTCTGTCTCCTTTACACATGTGAAACATTATTCTGTCCCCCCTCCCGACTTTTTGTCACTTTGATGTTCTCCCTCCTCCTCTGTGAAGCCTGAAATCAGCTAAAAGGGCTAATGATAACTATCACAACGCCTGTCATTTGGGATAAATAAATAAACACTCAAATATCAATTCAATATAAAAAAACTTAAAATTAAGTTTATTGTGTTCAGGTAATTGAAATGTAAGAGTAGGAGGAAGCCAATTGTGAATGTTACATGTACACACTGTAAAGTAAACACCATTGTTTGGTTTGTATCTTTGAAATGATTATTTGAGAAGTTATTGTTACGTACGGATTCTCTTAATTTGTTTCTATGAGCACAAATCGATTGACTAAACTTTACACTGAGATTACAAATAACGTAAATATACTTTCCTTCCATTTATGTATTTCTTTGACAGAAATCCTTGAAAATTGTGTTACTGTTGAAAGACGAATCTATTACCCCCAACAGTGCGTAAATGCATGCGCTGTCATTCATGAAATAGCATGTGAATTCATTGATATAGTTCAAACCTAAGCTATTAAAAGGCTCAATTCAATAAAATTTTCAATTCGCAATATGTCAAATATTGCTTGGTCTTTAATTCATAAGTATTTTGATATCCAAATTTGTGATTTCCGTTTAGATTGTTTTATATCCAGTGAGTGCTGATCAATCGATTTAAATGCGTGTCATTTCAGGCGTATTGAAAATTTTTCCATCTATTATAACCAAATGGGCGTCCCAAACATGGCCGGTTGCAGCAAGATGATATCAATCAGCATCCAATTAAAAGACGGACCATTTTCTACTACAAAGAAATATTAAGGTCCGTGTTTGGTTCTATCGTCTCTAGTCGATCACCATCTACACAAATAAAACTCTAAGCTTCTAAATAGGTCCACAGATTCAGTCAATAGAATCGTGATTACTAGACGAGTCTTGGTTGGTTAAATCTCCATAATCCCTCAGAGTAACATTTGTTAACATCAAATGGCAGGCTTTATGGTAGTTATTATTAGCTCTTTAGTCGACTTCGGGCTTCACAAAAGGGGGGGGGGGTTGACATCAACGTCACAAGAAGTGAAGAGGAGAAACAGAAGAATAAATTGCGGATATAAGAAACAGACACAAAGGTAAAGAAATGGGTAAGGTGAGGTGAGAGGAGTACTGTAGAAGCGGTGGAATATGGCACACAGTGGGGTTATGGTAGTATAAAGTCAAAAGTCAACTCTCAGTTTATAGATTTTTTGCTGTATGAGTATGCGTTGGCCAAGGTACACCACGTCTATCGCATACCCCACAATTGATATAATACGCTAGCATTAAAAGATGTGTTTAATGTTTTCCATTAGTAACAAAGTTTAGTTTGTTACATTTTATAAAAACAAAATAACGTTGTAAAAGTTGGTTATTAAAGATAAACTTTCTAATGGATAGTAAATTGTTAACATCAATCCATAATAATTACGCAATTGCGATCAATAAATTGTAATAATCTTATAGTAATAACAGACTTCCACTTATTTTACCTTAATTAGCTGTGGTATTAATGCGACTCTAGTCAATCTATGTATCAAAATTTCGAGTTCTTAATATTAAAAGAACCAAAGGTAAATATTAATGATAAAATATACGAAAGCATTGGTGAAATCAAAATTTAGTATTTGATTTTATTAAATTTCAGTAAGATATTAATTTATTATTGGTCATTTTTTTGCAAACATAAATATATAATAACTTTTTGATTAACTTAAGTGTTAGTTGTTTAAATATATATATTAAATAGATACGCTTTCAAAGAGCTATTCAATTGCAATTTTCACTTGTTAGTGCCTTTCCGCCTTTTTTCCTTGGGGCGAAAATATTTTGTCATCTTGTTCCTTTGTGAATGCATATGCAAATCAAATTTAATAAATTTTTTCACAATGTATGTGTTATAGGTCTTAAATGAGTTCAGGTATTGGCACTATTGTTCCAAGCAATACCGACCCGGAGCTAGAAGCTTGGTGGGAGAAGTTTATAGCCGAAAAACGAAAGGATGATGCTCAAGATGAAGATATTCGTCAACAATGGGATAACTTTGCTGCGCGAAAATTGAAGTTTATGCGCGAGTTTCGCATTCTTACTGATTTATACGAGCCAACAGCAAAGGTTGTTAATTCAATTCTCTCGAATGACTACGCACACAGAGGCCAAAAATTATACGCTGAGTGGTGTAGGATATCTTTTATTGTTGAGAACTACTTGTTTTATATAAGATTTTAATATCTCATTTCCTCGGTGTAGGTAAAGTTGGGAAGAAGGAATGTCTTCTTGCTTATTACGATACTCCAGTATTTCGTGCAATTTATACCAATTATCGATTTCTTAGCAGTGCTACAAGCTTTTTACAGGTTAGTATTTTTGCTTAATTTAACCTTTAATGCAGAATAAAGCTTCGCGTTCTTGCCTTAGTGTTCAATATTTTCAACTTCTGAAAATTGTTTTTACGTGCGAGTATATATTATAATATTTTTCTCACTGAATATAGTCTTACAGGTAGTCTTCTGTATTGAACTCTCCATGCTTCCAGTGTTTCCTTTTGGCGTCACTCGCAGTGAATATCGACATACTTTTCAATCATTTTCGGCTAATATAAACAAGCTTCTATTAGCTTAGCAGTAAAGCAAACACTGTCAATGTGACATGGCCAAACACCACTTAATTGCTCTAATTAAATATTTATCTATGTAATTATCCATCCCATAGACTGATTGCTATAATTTTATTGTATTTTCTTTCCATCATTTTTTGCATATTTCGATATTCGTTTCATTTTCTTTTCAGCTACAAAATTTGTGATATTAGCCTCAATGAAATGTTTTCAATCGAAGACCCTTTTTTATGCAGACTCGCTATCCTAATTTTGTCCAGTAGTTGATAATTACGCCAATCTCGTTAAGCCATTAAAATCACAGGCTCCATTTTTTCCATCTTGCTTGTTTATAGCTGGTACTTTTCACGAAATGTTTCAATGTTTGCACTATGCGTGTCTCATGATTCGCGACTACTTTTTTTAAGGCTCTAATTTTCATTTAGTGCCAACACCATCGTGGTTTTTTCTGTTTTTACATGATTTGTCATCTATTAGTATTTTCTGTCTGAAAGTGTTTTTTTTTGAATATATTCATTCTCAACCATTCGATATATTTTTGCACTGAAAATTTTGCTGTCAAATTTTTAATTAGACCGGTAAGTGTCACGTAGCTTGTCAACTTTCCTATTTCAGCTGGTCTTAAGTTGACTGTCAGATAAGCCGTTTCCTTTTTTAGTTTCTCTTTAACTCCAAACTTGTTTTCCCTCTTCTGCATCATATAAGGTTCTCCATTTTGGTTTCACTTAATATTGCATTAATTTAATCAAATCCTCCAATTCGTTTAGCAATAGTAGAGTTTCTAATTATTACTCTATGCGTTATTTATAGGTATTCGGACAGAATAATATCACTGTGTTGAGAAGCTCGAACGCCTACGAGTTTGCTCCTGAAGTTTACTTTAGATATTGCTGCTTCGAATTAGGTCTCTAATTTATAAAGCCATTTACCATTGTCGAATCAGTTTTATCGTTACCTGTTTTTTTTCATAAGTTAAATTTTAGTTATTCTCTTTCGAGTAATTATGATAAGTTATGGTACTAATAAATGTCTAACGAAATTCTAAAGACTCTTCTTCAATTCGAAATCATATCTACCTGCCATATAATTCCACGACGAATGTATGTAGGTTATTGGAATCTCTCTGTTGAGTGGTCTTTCACATGGGAGGACAAATTACAGATCTCGGATTATTCACGATTTCTAATAATTACAAGGATGATCTTGGTGGACTAATTTGTTATTACAGTGTTCTTTAGCACAATATTGTTTATTAAACGAACAAATGTTGTTTGCTGACTTTCTATGCATGGTCGTAAAATATATTGTGGCCAATGTACAGTGTAACTTTGTCCAAAAATTATTGTAGCTGTCGACTTATGACTTTTAAATGCTTCAGCTTGTTGTTGATAGTCATCTTCCTGGTACTGCATTTCCATTACCTTGTAGGTGCTTGTCCGCCTTCTAGGGTAACCAATCACTTCCAAATCATCTCTTAGTGCCTAATACTTTAAAACACCAAGAGAGTATCTTATTTCATTGATTTGCTATCGCATTTCTATTCGCATAAAATAATTTGAACCTACCGTAACTACGCTTTCTATCGATTCTGCTACCTACCGAACTGCTTTCCGTTCCAAATGCTTAAGTTTAGGATAATTTCTTCTGTTGCGGTTTGTGCATTATCTCTGTTTTCTAGGGGTTTATCCTATTTTCTCGTTTTTTTTCTTTCGTTTTTAATAAATTTTTTCGATGGATTAATAAGTGCTGTGTTTCCTTCCAATTTTTGTTCTCGAATTTTATTTGGTCGAAGAGAAACGAGGAATTGAAAGATTTCCATATAAAGAAAATCAATGGTTTTTCCGGAACTTGTGCAATTATTTGTTTCAAATGCCAGGCATTTTGATAGTCATCATTGGCCCTTTAGTTGACTTCGGGCTTCACAGAGAGGTGAAACGGACAAAGTCACAAATGGTCAAGAGGGGGGAATAGAAGAACGATTCACAGATGTAAAAGAGGCAGACAGACACAAAGGTAGAAAAAGGTGAGGTGAGTACTGTGAAAGTAGTAGAATATGACATGCAGTGAGGTGATGGTAGTTAATAGACCTCTTTGCCGTATGAATTACCCGGGATGCACCACGTGGAGGTAAGTCTATCGCACACCCACTTGTGCAATTATTATTGAAGACGTACTGCGTATATTTGAGTGTAGCGCTCAACACTAATATCTTAATTTCAACCTAGATAATTGATTCACTTTTGTTTCCTTTGATACATAATTAGGTCCTAATTGGGTCGACTCTTTTCTTGTACCCACCACTATTTCCTGCATTTTAAAGAAAGTTTAAAGCAGTTTAAGCGCTCTTTGAAGGCCTCAAGGTTGGATTTTTAGTCGTCTTTGCTTTTACCTTGTAAAGATTCGACAGACAAGTTTGATGTAAACTTCTAGGTATTAATTGAGAGTAAGTTGAATTTGGCAACACCTATTGCTGTTGCTCACTTCCGAGTACTGAATCTGTTTGCACTGGGTTGTGGCTATTTCATTTCTATTTTAAACTCTTTTCTCAGTTAATTCTTTAAATCTCCTTTCCAAATGTTAACGCAATAGCACACATTACTAGAATTCATCATCGGTATCAGATTTTTAAATGATTTCTAAATTTTAGCTTTGTACTTGTTGCCTTGGTATCTCGTTCTGTTCTGAAACATCAATTATAGCTAATCGACTTGGCTAAAAGTTTCCTAAGTTCATTTTGGTGAAGTTCTCACAAAACTTCTCTTGAATAATGGGAGGGAGTAATGGAGCCGCGATTACATTTCATCACCCTTTTGCTCACCAGAAATGTTGAGACTGTTATCCCATTGGTTCCTTACCGATGACTTCGATCTCCCACTTGTCAGACGTAAATATTTACAATCTGAGGACATCGTAGGGGATATCTTTTTAATTTCAATGAATGGAAGATTATTAGCAATATATTGAGAGATATTACAGCTACCTTGCCAATTCAGTTCCTTTTCTCTTATTAGGCCCTAGTAGAACGCTTAATTCCAGAGCATCCAGACTTGGAGACTTATCTCCTACAAAGCGTCCATCGAGTAATTACCGTTGGAGTTGGACCAGGTTCAGATATTGCCGCTTTTCTCGCCTACATTCGTTGCCGAGGGGTGAAAAATCGTCTGGTCTACTATGCCATAGATCAGAGTGAGGGTTGGTCTACCTTTCTCAGTGCTTTTGACCGTCACTGGTCCATGGTGCACAACTTCACCATTTGGTTCAAACCATGGAGGTTTGGAAAGAGAGATGATGTGGCTTGCTTGCCGGATGCTGATATGTTGGTGTTCAGCTTTTCTAATACTACACTCATGGATAAGGCCATCTGGCCTCTACTTATGGAAAGGTACAAGTTCATTCTGGTCTTGGATGGCATGAAAGATGTAAGTTTCCTCAAGTAAATGTCATTTATGAAAACTAAAAATCCACGCATGTTCGATCTAAAGATGACTAATTTATGGAGATATGGTCTTTGTGCTCCCCCCATATGCTCACCAGTTGAAGTTGTTCTGAAGATTTCTGTATTTCTACGAGGGCGAGCCAAAATGTTCTCAGACAGATTCCATCATTTATTTATTTAACAAGTGATTACCTCTCTTGTTGCCTGTGCACTTTTGTAATCTATATTACCACCCGTAAATTCCCTCATGGTAGAACTTCGGGCGCTGTCTGCAGACATTATGAAATTACATGCGTTTTTTTGCTTCTTCTAAAGATGTAAATCGAGCGCTTTTAAGGCGTTCTTTCAATTTTGGGAAATAAATAAGTCTAAAGGAGCTGGGTCTGGTCTATAAGAAGGATGTGGAAGTGTTTAACATCGAAATTCTCACGACTGGGCCCTGACAGCTGTTAAAGAATATGCAGAGTCATTGACATGTTGAAGCAAGATTGGAGTGTAGAGCTTCCCGCGTCGTTTCGTGGTGCGAGAGGTGTCTTCAACTTCCTCAAAACGCCCTCATTATTAACTTGATGTGACCCATTTTCTGTCCTAGAAAGTCTGTCAAAATCACTCCCGTCGAATCCCAAAAAGAAGTGGCCATGACCTTAACGGGCCTTTCAGCTTTGAATTTGACAGCCCAAGATGTTCCCTTTAGATGCCACTCTTTAGATTGAATTTTCTTTTCTGCGTCAAATTGGTAGATCTAGGTTTTATCATCGATAATACAGCTCTTAAAAAATTACCCACATTTGCTTCCAACTTTACCGAAGTTGGTAAGGAAAGTTCAGCTCTTTGGATCAATTGACGTTCCTGCAACGCTTTTGGAACCCATTGAGAGCTTGCTCTAACCAAAATTTTCAGTGAGAATTGAAAATGCTGATCCGGGTACGATTCCCGCTTCATTGGCAATTTCCTCATTGGAAACTCGTCGATCTTGTTCCACTAGTCTCTGCACAGAAGTAGAGTTTTCTTGATTTCTTGCTGTGGGGGGGGGGGGGTTGGAAGACACCCATCCTTGTGGGTTATCATCAAGTTGCACTCTTTCCTCTTTAAAGCCTTTAATCCAATCATAAATGAGTGCGCTACATGGTACAGAGTACACAGCAACCTGTTGCGAGGCTCTGATATCAAAATTTGCCATTTGAAAGGTTGAAAATTGCCAGCTATTTTGAGATGCAACCAGTCTTGATCCTGACCTCACTTGGAATGGTCGGACATTTGTGTTATTAAGGTAGCTCTAAAGGCATGCTTGTGCTTGCAAAAACCTGTAAATCTTTGTTCTGTTTAAAATTGGGGCCTTAGAGTGTGTATAATATAGACGGACCAAGTACGATCATGAGATACTTCATTATCTTTTTGAAATTACTGAAGCTACTCATTATTCCTCTTGCCTTAATGTCGAGTATTTTTCATTGTGCATCTATTTTTGTAGCGTGTGTGTACGCCTTTAAAGTCGTCCCGATTTAGATAGCTGCCAATAGATCCATATCGTCAGAAAGGAGGTTACCTTCATGACTTTCTTACATCCCTTGCTTCTATAAAGCAAGATTCTTGTATGCAGCAGTAATTAACGGAAGCTTGATTTCTGCCCGTTAAATGTTTTTTTTTGTTTTCGGTTGGCTCATATGGATCAGTGGGGGTCATGGTACTTACTCCAAGATTCTCATCATTCGAAGACTTTCCTAACCAAACGCGGAACGTCTTCGTATTATTGGTGTTTGCTCTACAAAGCACCGTCTGGATGGGCAATTTTCATCCCAAATAACTGCCCGGCCATCTAAAATGACGTGTGGCCGAGTTTTAATTGAGTCAACCCGAGACAAAACACTGCGTCTCCGTGGTTTACTTTTGTCCGCTTATAAGAATCGATTAGTGTGCTAATGAGAGGATGTGTGTATGGAATAGTGGAGGTTAACTAGATTGAATTGTATTAACTGTTCCTGAAATCATGACCTGGCAACCAAATATCAGAACTTCTGAATTCAGCTCCTTCATTGAGGTCTGTAGGATATTTTTCGTCCAAAATTCAGTAGATTGCATTCTGCCTTTGCAGTTTTTAAAGCACAATATCCATCAGATTAAATTGAACTTTTGTTCTTGCTCATCTAGATGTATCTATTTGGTCCGTCAAGATGCAGTTGATTGGAAATAATTTGTAACCATCGTTAGGCTCAACTTGTTATTGCAAGAAACTGAGTGGGCGTTGCTCGCCAACTTTGAGTCACTCATTTAAAAAGCCATTTTCCAAATCTTTAGTGTTTATTTCTTCTCCTTAGCGAGTTGTAACAAATCTGGGTGCAGCCGGGTTTTCGGATTTCCGCTTGTCGGAGAAGACAACAGTCTATTACCACTTCTCTGGTCTTCAAGAATCTCAAACGGATATCAGTACTGAGACAACAGCTGAAGGTGTTTCCACTGGACCCAAAGAGTAAATATGTACTGTGAGAATTAATTATCTGCAGATTTCGTCTCCCTTTCCCCAAATTCCCCTGGAATGTTTTTACTCCACTTCTTTTTTAACTCACATTTTCCCCTTTCCATCACTTTGTATTTATGCGTATTCCTGTATACAGTGTGGTTTGCAATAAATAACTTTGAATATTGGGCTATACACACTACTTATGTCAATTAAGTAAGATGCTAATTTTACAGTCGATTTTAGCGTATTGATGTTGATGCATACTTAAATTGTTATTCTATCAAATGTCAAATGCTTACAGACCCTGTGGACTTAATTGTTGTTTTTGTTAGCTAAATTGTACTGATAAAGGTCCTTTGCATAAGTAACGTTGAAGGTTCGTGTCGTGCTGTGTAATTAGCGCTTTCTACCTTATCTAAGGCGCCCTTAGCATCAAACCACACTAGCCGTAATATGAGAGACTGTTAAAAACCCAATCTTCACGTTTTTCTAGATTACCAGGCTCATTTAATCCAAAGATAGAAGACTGTGAGTAACTGAATGTCTCTTCAATTAAGGTACCAGCGGCTAATGTTCTGGGGTTTTTTATTGCATAGTTTTAACTCAAGCAATGGGAAATTTTTAGGCTGTATTTTGTACCCTATATGTATGACAGAATGTTGAATTCTTATTGTTTCGTCACTGCCGAAAATATTAGGGGTGACGCATCAATCATATCGATGACTGTTTTGCTTATTCTTCCCTCTTGAATGTCATGAATATGTTTTTGTCACAGTCGTGGTAGCTTTCTGTTTTTTTTCCTTTTTCAAGGCTAAGAAGGATTTTGTGTTGAGGTATGTTTGTTGGCGGCTTCGCTCTTCTAAGAAAATCTATTAGAACCTAGCAAACAGCTTACTTCTGATTCATTGGCAGCAACTTCTCCATTTGCCAATGAGAAACCAAGACCTGAGACACTCTGAACTACTATCTGTCGTTAATTTAGATCGAGTAGTCTTACAATAAGATCGTTGCTTTCTCTCGTCACTGCGCTTACAAATACGTCCTAATACGTTGAATGCGATGGGTGTAACCGCCGACTACTCGCTGGTGCGATTATGTCTAGGTTGCCACGGCGTCAATGCCTCTGGTATTCAAGCAAAATAGTTGAGCGCATTTCCTATTACTCCAAACCTTTATATTACATCATCAACAACGACTGTGCTGAAAATGGCAATAATACCAACTTTTGATGTTCTTTTAAATATGCCCTATTATTTTTATAAAAGACCCACCCGTGGGCCCTATCGCACTCGACGTGTTAAACCACCTTAATTGTCTTAGTTTCTGGCATATTTTGCAGTTTGGTTTTTTTCTTTTCAAAAAGCCTTACCTAAATTAGGCTACGCGCACTTTTCGGTAGAATTCATTACGTGCTTAGTCCTTCGGGTGTGTTTTGTTTTCCATCTCTGTTCCATGAAGATTGCACATCAAGTTTGCTTCTTTATGCTTTAAATATTGCCACAAATGTGCAAGTATATGTTTCGCTTACGTGCACCAAAGGGTTTGAGGTCTTTGACATCACTGTTAAAATAGGCGGGGAATGGCTTTGTTTACCCCTAAGTGGTTGGGGGGGGGGGGGGGGCCGGTTTCTTCTTCTTTAGAGGTAAGCGAAAAATTTTGTGCTTTTCACTTGAGTTGGGGCTCTCAACCACAACAGTTGACGTAAGTACTCGGAAGGTAGGAGCGGAAAGCAGGTTGTGGTCTCTATATAATGATCATGCAAACCACTCAAGACAGGTATGAACCTGTTTTTCTTTGTCTCCAATGATTTATGTGGCAGATTAGTATGGTGAGAGTGGAAGTGACTGGAAGCGTTATAATATGAAGGTATTCTTGGGATGGATTACGAATAATGATTGTAGTGGACTGAATGCAATCTTAGCGTCCTATGGGGAAATCAATGCCCTCTGGAACTCGTACTTTCGACCTCTTTGTGAAGAGCCTAGATCTTGGAAGGAAATATTGCAATGGAGAACTAATTTTGTTAATTATACTTCTTTAGTGGTCCAACCATATTTGATTTGATATTCCCTCTCAGAAGTAATGATTGTCTTAAAGACCAACCGGAAATGACAGACTTTGTCGAAATAGGATGCCATGAGGGTATTTGACAAGGACAAAACAGGGAAAGAGGAATGAGTGGGAAGGGAAATTGGAATAGACGAGAACATCTGTGTTGTGATTGAAGCCCTATTTTCTCGTCACATGAGCAATTGACACAGTATTTATTTATATCAACTGGCAGGCTCTATGGTGATTAACATTAACTCTTTAGTTGAGTTTGAGCTTCACAGAGGGGAGGAACATCAAAGGCAGAAGATTGATTCTCACATGTAAAAGAGACAGATACCAAGTTAGAGAGAAAGGTAAGTTAAGGTGATTACTGTGGAAGTTGTGAGATGTGATATACAAGTGGGGTCATGGTAGTTTGAAGTCAACTGCCTGTATATTGTTTTTCTTGCCATATGAGTATGCGTTGCCCAGGGAGCACCACGTGGAAGTAAGTCTATCGCGTACCTCAGGAAGAAAAATATGAAGTAATGGAAAAGGGAAAGTTAACCCATGTTCAAAATGATATCCTATTTGAATCTGTCGAATAGGTGCTACACTTGCACAAAACACGCATTCAAAACTGTTAGTGACTCATGCTAATACACCCGATGCTCTGCTTGGACTCAGATTTGTGCTGTACATACTATTTCTATAAGACCACTCCTTCTCCTAGTTATGAAAGACAAAATTTACTTCTTCAGTACAGAACAATATAGAAATGCAGAACATTAAAATAAGTCCAATTTTATATTTATCTATTTTTTATTTATTAATATCAAATGGGAGGCGTTTTGATAGTTATCACTAGCCTTTTAGTTGACTTCAGGCTTCACAGAGAGGAGGAGAAAGATCAAAGTGGCAAAAAGTTGAGAGGGGAACAGAAGAGTGATTCACAGATGAAAAAGAGACAGACAGATACAAAAGCAGAGAAATGGTTAGATGAATACTGTGAAAGAGGTCGATTA